AGGGAGAGCAAGGATAGCAGAGATGGCATTATTCAGCTGACTTCCTTCTTGGCTTCTGGATAGCGTTGGGAATAGGTTGGAGGGTTTAGGGAAATCATTAGTCAGAAATTAGTAAAACCTATTGTTATCCTACTATGTTGTTTTTGCCCTGTAACACTGTACGGCTGGCTTAAAAAATAGGCTGTAGGTCTCTTGCTTTGCCCTGTGTCCCTTGTTCCTATTAAAGTGGCAGTTTCTCTCCATCTGGTGCGGCCTTTTTCACTGTATTGAATGGCATGGACTCCTTATCCACAGCACTGTGGATTAATTCAGTGGATCCTTGGGCGTGCCACCTGCCACTCCTTACTGTTTCATTGAAAGTAGCTGGCTTTGGGCTGTTCTCCGTTTCTAAAATCTTAGATGCAGAACCTTAACAGAAATTTGGTTTGTACATACTTGAAGCTGTTCTGGTTTTTTTGCCCCCTCATCTCCCAGCTACACTATTTAATATGCTCTTTCTGTTTTTGTCTTTCAATTTGCTCTTTCAGCCATACTCCATTTATGTTCTTGCATAGAGTACTGTCAGTGTCAGGGTTGTGGCCAGGTGGGACTCTCCCCCCCCCTCCCCCCCGATGTTTTTTCTTTTGGACTTCACTAGAATTCCAGGAAATCTCTTCTTGCGTGAATTTTGGAGGAGGAGGAGGAAGAATTCTGTCTTGAAAACTACAGGTATCCTTTCCATTAAAAATAGTATTGTCTTCTGGTCTGTGTTCTGCCATCTTACCTATGTTCTTTGTGTTTAACTACTTCTTATATGTCTCTCTTCCATTCTTGCCCTAGTTCTCCACTCTGACTTTTTAAAAATTCTTCTGTTATAATGTAATAGCTAAATATACCTGTTTCTCCAGGTATTAGGTAGTCATGCCACTATCCAATTGTTCTTTTGGGTCTTATTATTTACTCTATTACTGTTGTCTTTCTCTTTGAATGTTTTCCAAACCGCAGCCCCCTTGAATTTTACACCCGTTCCGGTTTCTCACGAGTTCCTCTTTCTGACAGGATTAGCTGTGAACACCCGGAGCTTTCTCTCCTTATTTGCTCTGCTGCTTGTTGCTGCTGAACAACGATGCTTTTAAAATACCTTAATCCTCCTGTGGATATAAATCACTTGTTAAGGTTCCCAGTTCCCATAATATGTGGTTTTCCAGTGTGTGACTATTGCCCGTCTAGTCTTTCTTGCTAAATTTGCCTTGATACAGAATTCATTTTGGGATGAGTTTCTGAAAATAAAGCTAGGCTGTTTCTTAATAAAAATAATTCTTATCCTGAATCAATTGAAAAATGTTTTTCTTTTGCCAAATAAGAGGAATGGGAAGCATCTCCTAAGATGCCTGCTAACTGTGGACTACAACTCTATGATGAGCTATTAAACTGACCTGTTTATGGAATAAAACAAATGTGAGGGTTCCTTAGCTAATTATACTTCAACACTAACGTTAAGGGTTCGAGATACTCAAATACAGAATAAATAGTAGGTATTTGAAATATTCTACAAAAAGGCAGAATCTTTTCTGTTTTCTTTTGTTGAAAATAATTTTTCTTCCCTATTTCTATAGTTCTGTGCTGTTTGTATCTGTAACAAGTACTCCAATTGCAGATAAGTCAGCTGAGCTGGGTTTCAGTGGTAACTTCAGAGTTCATTCTATTTCCAAATAACTGTGGTTTTGAAGACAATTCATTAAACTGATGCATTTAGAGTAAACTTTTACTTGAATAAAGTTTAACTAAAATCTAATGGGCCAAAGTCTTTTCAGACTTCTGATCTTGATCTTAGATACTTGACAAATTTTTGAAATTTTCATGTTACGAAGTATTTGATGAAGAAAAATGAAAGGGTTGGAAGAAACTTTTTCTCCCTATAGGCAATCTAGCTGTCTAGAGCAAAACGGCACCAGCAATACTTGATTTATTTCTACCCCTCCAAGTTCTCTCTAATATGTATGTGTAGCATTTGTGCTAAGTAAATAGCTCTGCAATAGAGCCATTACTTATGCAAAAAAAAAAAAGAGAAAGATGCTAAGATTGTGTCTGCTTTTCATAAGTACAGGAAAGTGGAGGAATTTTGATTAGCCCAGTGCAGTAGCTTTTCAAAGTTCAGAAAAAAATGGAGCTTCTGGCAGAAAATGGGAAATTTGATTTGTATGTCAGTGAAGGCTGTGATTCACAAGGGAGAAAATATAAATAGTTTTCCTGACCTTACATCTCAAAGCCCATCTGTGGGTGCTCTGGAAAGTAGACTCTGCAGTATAAAGGCTGGGAATTTATTTGAGTCAAAAACATCTGTTGACCTACAGGGTCTGATAGTGCTGTAGGGCATATCTATGAATATCAGACCCCACTGGCAGAAGCTATTGAAGTTCTTAAAAAATAACATTAAAACTAAAAAAAAAGACAGACAACTAGAATGGCTATGAAGTTATGTTAGCGGCACGTCATATGTTAACAATACTTCACACATTGTGCCTAGTTCTCCACTCATACTATTGTAGAAATGTAATTTCTTCTATGTCGATCTTTTTAAAAAATGCATTCATTCATTTTTTTCTAAGTTCTTCATATTTGCTGTCATCACTTTCTTCTTGTTCTAGCATCCCACTTCAGTGGTTCTGATTAACATTTTCTTTATCTCTGCTGTCTTCTTGGAGGTGGGAATCTGGCGTGTAATAAAATAGTCAAAATGCCCCAGTTGTGCAGAGTCTTGTAGAATTGTTCCAAGTGCTAATGTATTCTGAAGCTTGCGTTCCTGTTTTCAAGAACTAGTTGAGTAACTAATGACCTTTGGAAAATCTGGGTGATTTAGCTGTGGTTCAGAATAATATGTGAGTCTGGCTAGAGAAATGCAGTCATTGTATCTTCTCTCAGCTGTCCTCTTGCCATCCTCTGTGTTGTTCTAGCAAGCATCTGGCCTTACCTTGGGCTTGTCGCAGAAACATTGAACAGATCATCAAAATGCCCTTGAAATACTCTGTTCCCTCCTTTAGGAAAGGAGAGTAAAGCCAGGATGGTGTCCTTGGGCATGGTGTGCTTTGCCTAGGTTAGACTCAAACCTGTGAATCCTTCATGCTCGTTCTGTGTGAAGGCGGTGTCTGGATCCATTACCACGTCTCCGCGTAGACGGGTTCAGCGTGTAGGTGGTCTGCATTACGGAAGGATGCTGGGCAGGGATTATTGCTGTAGTGGACAGGGGTTGGTTTTATTGGCCTCCTGGCAGAGGTCGCTGTTATGCAGAGGCTTCCTTGTGAAATGAACTGAAAGGTGCTCGTGTTTCAAAGTGCTCACAATTCTCATGTCCTATTAGGTGAACTCCAGATAAACAAGAGCAAGCTGTTTGACCTGTGCCCAGAACATTTGAATGACTAAATAGGAGGAGAAAATAAAATCTGTGTGGACCAGTCTGACCTTGCAGGCTAGAGCCCTGAAATCTACCTGTGCTTTCAGCGCATACTGGTGGCCATAAATCCTAAGAGAAAACGTTCCTTCACAAGAACTTCTTGATTAACTCTCTAAGAATGAGTTATAACTTCAATTATATTTGTATCCCTTCAGTTATTTGAAAGAGTTTAAAATAGCCCAGCTTCCAGAGGCACTTGCATTTAAATGGGGGAAAAAAAAAAATCCATAGAAGTTGGAACCATGCTCACTTTGTTGTTTGTGTACATCTTTCCTCCCATTTCCAAGAATTGCATCTCATACCCAATTTCTTTTGCAGTTTTGTTCAGTGGAGGGACTGCTGTATGTCAGCCATGCTAAAGGGCAAGTGATGGAGGCAAGTACTAGTTTATATATTCAGTTATCTAATATTGTTTTTGCCAGTTTCTCCTTTTGAACTGTTTTGTTTCCCAGTGCTGCTGTGAAATAATTGCACAAATGAAGGACTATATTAGCATGTTCTGGGATGTAATAATGTTATAACGTCTGTTCAGTGTGACTGTATATGGAATTGTGAATTTTGTTTCTGATATATTGTATTCTTGTACGAATAAGAAATGTATGTTTTTGAACTTCATGCTATAAAGTACTCCATTTCCTCCCTCAAACAGAATATAAAGGTTGTTACAAGTGTGGGGGGAAAAAACAAGCACAAAACTTGAATGCAAATAAATGTGCTAATTAATTCTGCTGATTCACAGTCCTTCACATTTATGAGTAGTTTTTTCCCCAAAAGTAGATACTAGGACAAGTAAGTAGTTTTAAGGATCTTCATACCAGATATGCAATTTGAAAAGCTCTTTTCAGGCTCACAACAGACTCATCATACGGCAATATGAACAGACAGATGACCACAAAGCTCCCTATAGGAGCCTCTTAAAGATATGAGTCAGTGTAATTTCAGAAATCAGTCACAGAATACACAGGGGTAGTAGTGATTTGTTTGTGAGGTAACTGTAGGCTGATTTGTTTCAGGTTGGTTTGTAAATTGACATAGCGCTAATTTAAGCAGGTTAATGGTTTCCAGCAGATAATGCATGGAACTCTAGTTAGACTGAAGTGGTGTTCTTTAAGATCAGCAGTATTGCCAGTGATGATCTGGATAGAAAGTGTGCAGGACATCAAAAAGATACTGGTTAGAGAGTATATTGGGCATCCTGGATATGAAGTGCAGTTCTTCAGTGAGTCCTGACTGAAAAATGAACACTGAGGGAATTAGCTAAAATGAAAAAGGCAGTTATGGGTCAACTGTCAGGTTTGTATTTTATATGCCAAATAATTTTGGGACTCTTGCTTTTTAGCCAGTGAGGTTTGTTCACTTGAACCATTTGGTCTGTTGGATGAAAAAGAAAATCTAGTTTTGCCTTTTTTTCCCCCAAAACTTAAACTGAGTGGAGACCTACGATTCAACTTTCTGGAAAACCTGTTACATGAGAAAAAAGAAATATTAAGAAAGAGCAAGCTCAAAAGTCAAAGCATGATACTAGTCATAAAGGCACTTGAAGTCATTTAAGAAAGTGTTAAGTATGTAAAAATACAAGGTGTGTTGCACATTTTTTTGATTCTGCCGCACAATTTCTGCATGAATATGGGTAAATATATTTTTCTGGGTGTAGTTTATTACTTTGCATTTACTGTTACTGATTAAACTGGCCGATATATTTAGACTCAATGCTTACAACATGTTCAAGGTACTGACATAAAATCCTGTATGATTCCAGTGTTTTGCTTTCTGTAAGTACTGAATTTCATCTTGCCTCCAGCTGATAGCAACGGCATTTGAAAAAAAGAGAGCGTGAGGCAGCTCTTTTGATATTTTTGGATGCCAATTTGGAAAACATTTTGGAATATCTGTTTAACCCAGTGTCAGGTTTCAGATGCACAAAATTGAGAGCGCTCTAATTGTAACCTCAATGCATTATGTTTCTGCAGCTGTTTTAAGATAAAAATGAATGCTCTCAAATCCCAAACATATGTTGTATTTCAAATAAAATGTTTTTTTAAAGCACAGGCTGCTTTCTGCCAAGATTGAGGTAGACCTCTGTGATCTGGTTTCTGTATTTATAGAAGCCTAATCAAAGCTTTCTCCTGCAAGAAAACAACGATCAGCTTCTGAGCAAGTGATCTCATGGTGCTGATGTGAAACCCTTTCAAATACTGTGTCATTTCTTCCTTCCTCATTCCTTTGCTGTACTTCTCCAATAGTGTGTTGCTATATAAGTGCTCAGCTGCAATGTCGTATAACCAGCTCCTGCCTGAGCCCAGCTGATAGGTAAGGTCGAGATCTCTTGGAGAAAAGCTGCATGTTTCCTCTCTGCTAGAGACTGAGCTACACATACATGGTGCTGCTCCCTTTCAGATTGGTTGCTTAATCTACTTTTTAAAAGGCATTTTTGTTTTCTCTGAGAACTATGGACAAGACTATGCCAACTGAAACCATTTCACTTGCCTGTTCTTGCCTGAAGACAGATTTTCACATCTAGTTTCCAGTGCTATCAGCAGATGTTGGTGGTAATAAGCCATTTCTTACTATTTGGAAATGCATAACTGATTTGGAAATGTTCTGTTTTCTTGCATATATTAAATACTGTGAAGTTAGGCATTCTACAGGAAAATCAGATAGGCAGAGCAGACATTACATTTGAAGCACAAAATATCAGATCTTTGTCAAAGAACAAAATTAATTCTGCCAAAGAGAATAACATGTTCTTCAGAAGTTTAACCTCGTGTTCTGTTCGATATTATTATGGGCTTGTTCTTAATAAAACCTGGTTTCTCCTTGCTTCTCCCCCTTTTGAACAGCTTTTGTACCTTTCTTGCTTTCCTATATCCTTTGTGCTGGGCTTTTTCCCCTAGGCAATGAATGACTTGTCTCATACAAGCTTTGGCTTCTGCGTACAGCCTAGATGCAACTAATACCACATGGAGGGATGCTCGGAAAACTGATACATTTTGTTTTGTTAATGGCATGTTTTGCGCATTGGATTTTTTAACCCACTACTTTCTGCATGGATGTATAATAATGACTCTTTTGTTTAACATTAGATAAGCATGAGATCACCGTGGCACAGCTGCATGTGTAGTCACTGTTGAAGCAATTGCACACCTAATTGGCTGACAATCTTGGCATTTTTCAAACAAACACAAGCCTTTTAAAGCCAGGGGACGTATTTATGTATGAGTAGTCCAATAAATCTGTTGGGTGTCATCAATGGAGCCCTCTGGCACTGAACAGTTGTGTGATGACCCTGATCCTGGAGGCAAATCCCAAGATCAAGAGACCAAAAAACAACATGAATCAGAGCAAAAATTATCCAAAATAACCCATAATGCTTTGGAGAACATTAATGTGATTGGTCAAGGCTTGAAGCACCTTTTCCAGCATCAGCGCAGGAGGTCGTCGGTTTCTCCGCATGATGTTCAGCAAGCTCAGGCTGATCTGGAGCCTGAAATGGATCTGGAAAGCCAAAGCGTCTGTGCTGAAATTGATGGTGTCTCCACCCACCCCACAGCTCTGAACCGGGTGCTTCAGCAGATCAGAGTGCCACCTAAAATGAAGAGAGGGACAAGCCTGCACAGCAGGCGGGGCAAGGCAGACGCCCCGAAAGGAAGCCCGCAGATCAACAGGAGGTCTGCCCAAGATATTCAGTCAGGTCGGCCCAGATCGTCATCTACTACAGATGCTCCCACGAACTTGTCCGTGATGGAGATTGCTTCTTCTATCTATGTAGGTGGAGAGGAGGCCACAGCAGCAGCAGTAAGTCACTCAGATTTACCTTTGGTCTTTATCATCTCCTTGTATGTTTTCTTAAGCCTTTTGAATCTTGTTTTTTAGAAGCAAGTTTCTTTCAGCGAACACTAATGCTGCTGTGTTCAAAAACTTCTTCAGTGGTGAACCAAAGAGCTTAAAAGATGCAAGCATTAGTCATTTTCTCACATGGCAGGTGGCTTATTTTTTATGTATTTGATCAGTGAAATGAGAGCTACTTTTGAAACACATTTGGTTGGTTGGATGGCGCACCGCAGTCAAACAAGGAGTGATGGGAAGAGCAGCAGCCAGAGTAGTTCTCTGTAGCAGCTGTTATTTAGCTCCTGCAACAAACCCTTGCATTTACGTAGATGGCTTTTTTCTTCCCCTCTTGTTTTATTGTGTATTCTATAAAAGTGAGGAATTCCAGTTTGAGTGAATGACGCTGCTGATCTTTTAGGCTGTTGAGAGGCTCTGGGAACACTGGCTGTAGCCTGCGATTGAACTGCAGTGCCAGATTGACTGAATCTGATTTAGATCAGCCTGGCCACTGTGCTGATACAGGATCACTGCTGTGTTTTTTTTAGTTTGTCTAGCCTGTGTGGAAAAAGCATTCACCGAAATGAGTCTCTGTTCTGTGACATGTTCTTGCAAAGCTATGCTTATTGGCTTATTGATGATATCAAGAAGTAGTGTTTGTCTTACCATCTCTCTTCTTTCCCAGATCAATTTAGTTGAAGCACTCGTTTTTTTTTTTAAAAAAAACTAGGTTTCTGATTTAACTTGAGCTGTAACCTATATTTTCCTAAAATTCATTGCAGGCTTGTACATTGGAGGACAAACCCTTTGATAAAGATAGGAAGCATTGTGAAACTGACTTCTGGTTCATATGCTCTTAATTAAAGAGGGTCTGACCATGACTCTTGGACCAAGAGAAGCAATCCTGCTAGTGTTTGATGCTGTTGAGATAGCACGGTCCTGAAGCTTACATAGATTTTTTTCGGTATGAAAACTTGTTCTCATATACCACAGTTTCTTTGATGTTGGTTAGATGATGATGGATTGGGGCCGAATAAGATCTTCTCAGTCATGGTTGCCTCACCTTGCCTCTGTAGCAAGATAGTTCCCTTGTTGTACATTGTTTTCCTCCCGTTGAAGCCTACTTTGAAATACTCCAAGTGAAAACCTTTTCAGAGTATTCGGTGGTATAATATGCTTTCAATGTATTTCCCCGATAGTCATCCAGAAATTAGCATATCTTGTGTTTATAGGTGGTAATTGCAAAGTATTATCATAAGTTACAATATCATTCTAAGGCAGTGAGTAAAGTTTCCTCTTGGGAGAAGCATTGAAGGAGTCTGCCTGGAGCTGTATCTGAGGTTTTTGTTTCTTGTCAACAGTTAAAAGAATAGAAATAGTAATAATGTCATTAGGAGAAGCGTATGCCCTCCTAGGATGGGTTAACTTTGCAATTGAGCCATGCCAGTTGAACCATTAGGAGGCCTCAAGAAGAGACCTCTTAATAGCTTCAGGTTTGCTTACTGGGTCTCTTTTCATTGTGAGTGAACTCACGATCTTTGTTTCAGGAGAGTTTTGGGGAAGGTTGATAAGTTTTCCGAGTTTGTACCCAAATCCAGCAACTTAAGTTTATGAAGCAAGCTCTGATTTGTTGGTTTAAAACTGTAGTTCCTTTACTTCATGTATGAGCAGGGAGATTGAACAGGCCTAAGCATATTTGGTAAATAATATGGGAATATGGAAAAAGACCTGGAGTGAGATGTCCTTTCTCCCAGCTATGTCAGCTGGTCTGATGAAATGTTACCACCTTTGCCTAGATCAGTGATCTCCAAAGTGGGGTGTGTGCAAGACAGTCCATTGGAGTGTGGGAGGGAAATATTTTTTGTACCATTAATAAGAAAAATAATTTTTTGAAAGAATGTTTATTTTATATTTTTCTTTTTAATTTCTATTTTTGTGTATGTTTTATAATGTACATAATGTATTAGTTCTGTAGTACATGTATATAGTTTATAAATAAATATGCATGTATTGGCAGTCCATGCTCAAAAATTTTATACTGATAGGGGTGCGCAATTGAAGTTTGGAAACCACTGGCCTGAATGAGTTGGATCACTTGGCAGGAGTCACTGGAAAAATGAGAACTATTAATCTGACAGTAACTGCATTCTGCTACAACATCTGGTATGTGTGAGAACAAATTTAGGAGTCAAGTTTTGGTAGATAACAGCCTTTGATTACTGAGAAGCAGTAACTGTAGCTGTTCTTCCTATTGAGAAGCATGCCATATTAAGAAAGGTTTTCTGTGAACGGTGGCTCTTCTGCTACTTAACCAAGTAGCTGTCTCAGAGGTGGATGTGAGAGCAGTTCTTGTTGCTGTTTGTCATCTCCTCAGCTGGTATGTACTGTGACTTGAAGAAAAGGGGTTGTTCAGGATTTCTCCTTTCCATATTTGAGAGAAGGGAGGGGACTGGAGTCTGAAAGAGGAAAATTAAATGCATGTGAGGAAAGGCCCTCTTTGGGGGCTAAACCACCCAGAGACCTCCATGACCAGTTGTCCCTCTGTAGACTTTAGTGAATTTCCAGCTGCTTTTTAATGTTTGCATATTGCACCATTTTTCTGGCAGACAATAAAGATGTATACTACGGGTCTAAAGTGACATAACCAAGGAAATGCTGCCTTGCTTTTTCATCACACTTCGGGGAAATACACCTTTGTCTGATGTCTAATTTGGGCATTTCAGTCTGGTGGAGAAGCTTTGTACAGCATTTATAGTGTGCCTGAGCTAACCTCAAATTTAGGTTTTGCACAAGAGGATTTTCCTTTGTGGTAACGAACTGATGGATGTAGTGGGGAGAAGAGGGGGCAGACAGTGAGACTGTTGACCAGCAATCTCTGGATTGCATCTGGAGCATAGCCCTCTGGACTGTGACTATAAGGCAGGCTTCACGGTGAGATGCCTGTCAAGAGCAAGGGTCAAGAGTGGCTAAAACTCCTGATGTACCTGGACAGAAATGAATCTTTTAAAAATCTTTGGAACGTGAGACTGGAAAATCTGATATACTTGGCATTTTTAAATGTAGCTTGCTTGCTTCCAAACCACTGTTGCAAGAAAGTGGCAGCAGCAATCTCCCCTATGCATATGAACAAGAGGGAGGCAATCAGCTGTACTAGCAATGTTCACATTTTCCTTTGTAGTGGTACTTGTATCTCTGGGGTGTGTGCCTGCAGGGTGGGAACCCTTTGTCGCGGGGCTGAGGGAAGCTGTGGAAATGAAGTTCATGCACTTCAGCATAGCTTCCCCTCTCTTGCATGATCCAGAGCATGTATGGTGCTTCGGGACGTAATACCTCACCCTCCTTAACCTGAGCCCTCCAGTTCCTCTATTCTAATTTGGAATTGCTTCCTAATGCGCATTCTGAAAAATACAGGTGCACTCATAGATAGAATCCAAATAAACACTTTGGGAATGCTGCAACATTTGTTGATATGGCTCTGAGTTTTGTTGTATTTACTTTTCCATTCTTGTTCTGTGTATTTCTTAAAATCTCACTTAATTCTCTTCTAGATCACCTAAAAAAATTGAAAAACCTGATGAAAAATAGCTGCACAGAAATATAAAATGTCATCTTCTCTATAAAGTAGAATAAATAAAATCTTGCTTACTGGTTGCTTCATTCTGTAAAGGTATTTCATTCCTGTAACATGAAGGTGGAAGACTTGTCATAAGTTCACTGTCCTGGCTTTGCCTCAGTTATCATGTGTATGCTTTCTTTACTCATAAACCTGTTCCCATTTGTAGCATAGATGGTACTTAAACAATGCTTTCTAGCTAACAAGACCCTACTTGGGCAGAGGAAAAGAGCTGTTCAGCAGCATGCAGTGACTGAATGAGACACAAAATAAATAATGTGTTTCTTTAATGAGAACAGCAGTGTTTGTGAAAGATTTAAGACTTGATATCATCTATTCAAGTAAAGAGTGCTACTGCTTTTTATCAACCCATTCAGTCACTTCCAGAAATGTAGCTATCCCCAGAACTGGGGATAGCATTTGTGAAGGCCCTTGGAGTTGCAAAAACAAAGAGTCAGCAGGATTTCAAATTGCTCAGAAAAAGGAATTTTTTATTACAGTTTTTTTTATTTACAATAGTTCATATCGATGAAGAAGCCAGAGGGCCACATAACAAAACAAATTTAGGTATCATGGCAACTGTAAAACTTAATCTCTAATACCAATCTTCTTGTGAACACTTATTTTCTTAAAGTATTTTGTAGCTGTGTAAAGTTTACCCATTCTTTTGACTGCTGTTTAGTTTCAATGTTACTCTCGCATGTTTTATTTGGTGAACAAAGACTAAAATGAGAGCACAGAAATCTGTTTTTTTTTAACAGAACCAAGTAAAAAATGTAGCTAAAGTAGTTCTCAAGTTTTGTTCTTAGTTTAGTCAAGTTTTCTAAAGGAAAATGTGTGTTCCTGCTGTTCCTTTAGCATTATTGTAATTTCAGTGTTTGAGTGTTTATGCTTGATTATTGGCTTCCATTAAATACAACATTCTGCCCAGAGATATGACAAAACAGGAACTTTCTTGATTGTGCATAGTCTTATGTGGGCTCAGAAACCTTGACTGCCCTCAGACTCATCAGCCTTTTCTAAGTAAGCTAAAGGCAAAAGTCTTGAGTTGTTTAAGCTACAGTTTACTCCAGAGATTTGACATGCTTGAGTGTGCACTCAAGCTGAGGTAGTACTGATTCTGGCTGTGCACTTATTTACACATGTAAGATTACAAGATAAATATGGCCTGTTGTTTAACAGCATTAAATTCAAGATGCAATTAGATGACCCATTGCTTGCCTTATTCAGCATTCTGCAGTTGTACTTACATGTGATGTATTTTTTTTTCTTTTATGAAAAAGACTGAGATTAAGTGATTGCAAATACAGCCTTTCCCCACCCCAGTCCTGCCTGAAACTTTCTCATATCTTCATGG